CAAGATCTATAACTTTGATTCTAGTTATTTCGCCATTCGAGGTGGTTTGACCAATTTGAATTTTAAATTATGATAAATTCAGCCATACTTTTGGGACCTCAAATGATTTCAAATGAAAATGTCATCAACAACAAAGTTGTAGTTCCATCTAAATCTACAACTTTGGTTTTGATCGATTTTCCATCCGATGTGTTTTGGAAAATATGAATTTCAAAATTTTAGAACTTCAGATACAACTTTGAGACCCTAAATGTTTTCTAATGAAAAATCTGAGAGTTGTAGATTACATCAAGGTCAACAACTTAGGCTTTCATCTGAGGTTGTTTGTACAATTCAAAAAAAATGAATTTTAAATATGAAACCTTCAAATAGAATTCTGAGACCGTAAATGATTTCAAATGAAAAAGTCATCAACTACAAAGTTGTAGATCTCGTCAAGATCTACAACTTTGGTATAAAGTTTGTTGTCATCTGACTTTATTTGAAAAAGTCATGAATTTTAATGTGCTGCAGCATAAGTCAAATCGTTGGTGAAAGTGATTTTTCCTGCTGGTTCGTAACACAAAACAGCGGTGAAAATCCGCCCCATTTTCACCACCGGTACGTAACACGAACCGGCGGTGAAAATCATTTCACCAACGGTTCGTAGTACGAACCAGCGGTGATGAGTATCGCCGCCGGTTTGGAGCAAACCGGTGGTGAAAGTGGCAGCGGTGATGATCAACTATGTAGTAGTGCAAGTCCGGCGAGGCGTGCAAGTAGGGAATAGATGTGCGGGAGAGGAAATTGCCATGGTCACTTTTAAGTTCGGTGACACCAAACACCGAACTGATTCAACCGACAACCGAATGCGTCGCTTTCTTTTTCTATGTTCCACCAATCGGTTCCTAATTTCTGTAAACCGAACCTTTTGCCCACCGTAAACACCTAACTGAACTATCAGGTTTAAATCGATTGACCTGCACTACTCCTCGGTACAAAACGGCTCTAGCTCCTTCGGACTCCTTGCAAGAAATGATTTTTTAATGGTCATTCAACATGGATCCACGACAAGAGTTGCAAGAAGCCAGAGGTGAAGCCGTGCCAAAGGGTCTCTAAGCATAGTAGAAAGAATAGAACACTGGGTATTGCCCATTGCTCCAATCGAGAATGATGTATGGCAAAAAAAATTATGAATAGGCAGTGCTTGGGAAAAAATCAAGGTGTACACTCACATAGTCTCCGGTCATCTGAGATCAAGAATTTAGAGAATTTTTTAACTCGTACACAGAAGCATAGTGCAAATATATACAAAAACAACATAAACTGACATCTACTATTAAACTTTTTTACTGGTACATATACACAAGCATTGTGCTAACAAGTCCCAAACCTATACTCGATAAAGAAATATAAAAGGCATCGTGTAGAATTTGTTTGGAGTCCTGCATCCAGACTAGCTGGTCGTGGCATGTGGGACGTGGGAGTCAGCCACATGGTTCTCTGCATGGCTGCTAGGGCCTAGCCGATAGCATGCAAAGCGCCCCGCCGAGCCTAGCTCTGGAGAAACATAAAGCGTCTGTTGTTAGGTGGCTAACCCCAAACCTCCAGAAGCCACTTTCGGCCTGTTTGGTTACCTTTTTAGAGCCCGGAGCCTGGCCCAGGTAAGCCACCGACAACCTGTTAGCTAGGCCATCCGGAAACGAGGTAGCCTTTTCCGCGAAGCCAGGCCCCAGGTAGCGCTCGGAACCGCTCGCGTCACCTCCCGTTGTGTCTACGCGTGCACCGCCACCCGCCTCCCCGGCAGCTCCTCGGCGTCTATGCAGCTCCTCCGCGTCCGCGTGCCGGTCACCTGCTTCCCCTGTTAGATCGTCGGCGTCCGCGCGTTCCCACCCGCGAGGAGCTCGTCGTGACCAGCCGCTGCGACCTCACTGCCGCCGGCGCGTCCTCCACAACCACGGAGAGCCCATGGGGTGACCCACCAGCAGGCGCCAAAGATGATGCGCCACCGGCCGGGGAGCATGTGCACGACGTGGCCAGGCTCCATGGGGTCGAGGAAGATCGTGCAGAGCTCCTCCTCCTCCTCTGTCCGTGGACTCAAGCACGATGACCCCATCCGAGGAGCATCAGCTCTGCCTCCGAGAACTCATTCTTGCCAAGGTTGTCTAGGCTTTAGATGGTAGCCATACTAGAAGCAAGCCAGGAAACCAAACACACCAAAATAGTTTCCGTTTCTCTCGGGCCTGGCTCGTGCGAGAGAGAGTGAGTGCAGCAGCCAAACGAACGGGCAACCAAACAGTTGATGCACTCATCCATGTATGTACTCATCCAGTCAACCAGTTAGGCCCCGTTTAGATGCGAAAATTTTTGGTTTTTGGCTACTGTAGTACTTTCGTTTGTATTTGGCAAAAAATGTCCAATTATGGACTATTTAGGCTAAAAGATTCGTCTCGCCAATTATGGATAAACTGTGCAATTAGTTATTCTTTTTACCTACATTTAATGCTCCATGCATGTGCCGCAAGATTTGATGTGACGAGGAATCTTGAAATTTTTTTGATTTTGGATGGGATCTAAACAGGGCCTTAGTAGGACTTCCATATATGCAGCAGACCTGTCCCAGCTTGGACTAGCCAGTAGGAGCGAGCCAAGCTCTGCTGGTCATCGAACCAATCATGACCATAGCTCCTTGAAACCCTAAAAGTGAAGAAAACCAACATTTCATATGAAGAATAGCTCAAGAGGGCAATTAACAACCAAGTAATTGTTAGAAGACAGTTGCACAACTGTTGTTGAAATCGGTCCGTACAGATCCTCCCTTGTTAATACCAACTTTTCTTTGTAAGTTATGTATTGCTTGATTGTTAAGACAGGAATGTGTCCTTCTAAAGTTACATTTTGAACCAAATCTAAAACTAAATATACTTGACAACATCTAAAATTCTCCAACGGGTGTTGAAAAATTTAGTTTACAAAACAGGAGGCTAAGTTCAACCTCTTTACTGCATTAAAATCTCTACTATAAGGCTTGTACATGAAAGAGTGGAATATAGTATGCTAGTATCATGGTTCCATCCACGAATCACCATTTGGAAATTTTATTTATGAAATATAAAAGAACTTCTTTGTGGCTTAATCGAAATTTCTAAATTCATTTTCACACAATGAAATTGATGCAAAGGCATTGATGTAGACAAACACTTAAATTAAATAGTAAACAATTATATAATCACATTTTTCACTTCATAGATTCACAACAAATTTAAGTAAGATTCAAAAATTTAGAAAAAATATAATCATTTATTTTATTTAGTGTTTTCTGTTTACATGCTAAACTAAAAATTGTGGGCGTGATGATTAACATAGCGATGCGATAGAAGCTAATGGTCACACCGGCAAGTCGTATGAAAGCTTGGGGAGCCTATTTGCATGGATCTCTAATTGTTTCACCATCCACTAGTGATATGGTGCACAAATGCATATGCAAGATGGAGGTGGCGGCCAAGATTGGATCATAGGTCCTAACTATCAAATTCTAGAGCCCTATTAGACATTAAAATCTCTGCTATAAGGCTTTTCCATGAAAGAGTGGAATACTAAGTTGAAAGAAGTATGCCAGTATCATGGTTCCATCCTCGGAATCACCATTTGGAAAAATATATCAAAACTTGTTCAAAGCTTAACTGATTTTTCTAAATTCATTTCCACACAATGAAATTGATGCAAAGGCATTGATATACACAAACACTTAAATTAAATAAATTAAATTGTAAAAAATTATAAAATAACATTTTCCCACCTCCTATCAGAACCCTTGGATAATTTATTCTTTAGATCTAAATGTGTATATTAATCTGACATGGCCTCAGCTAGGCACTTATGTTCACCTCAAGGTGTCTTTTGTATTCTGCCCTTTTAGTCGACAGGCGATTCCTCCCTCGACACTGTTTTTTCACTCATCTACTACCAGCATACCCGCCCAAGTACCCACCCTGCTCTCACTTCCCCTATCTCTCTCTTAGCTCTAGCTCAACACCTGCGATCATGGCAACGAGATCCCGGCCTCCTCGGTCAAGTCACCTCCTCCTCCTCCAATCCCTTCCCTATCTGCGCCCCTCCTTTCACCTTCTATTGGGGCTGGCCAAGTAGACGTCGTCGGCCCACAAGGCAAGCATGGGATGGAAACGAGCTCAACAGCCGCTTTCCGATTAAGTGTGCCTCAATGTTATACTCCCTCTATTCTAAATTATTAGTCGCTTTAACTTTTTTTGGTACATTGTATTTGCTATGTATCTAGACATAACATTGGTCTAGATACATAGGAAAATCGATGTACCAAAAAAGTTAAAGCGAATTATAATTTGGAACAGAGGAAGTAGATTGTAATTGTTTTACTTTTGTACAAAGCAAATAACCAGCTTGGCCCTTTTCAGTTTTTTCTCACCTAATATGCTTTCCCTATCCCAAAATAAGTTAAATTCTCGTTTGCCGATGATTCAAACTTTTCTAAAGATGACTAAATATATATATTAAAAAAATACTAATGTAATAAATTTTATTACGTAGATCGTGGAATATATATATTTTTATAATAAATTTATTCGGATATATAGATATTGGTATTATTTTTGCAAATAAAGATATACATTTAAAAGTGTTTGAATCATTGAGAAGGGAAATGTGTGTTTATTTTGGAACGGAATATAAAAGAACATCCCTAGCGTTTGAATTTTAGAGGTGGTTCGGTTTGATTTTGAGTTTTCCTGCACAACAATTGTAGCTGAAATGCAGAACCAGTGAGGGTAAAGCTGTCATTTCGCATGTGTGGGTGGAGCGAGTGACCGTGGAGGATTTTGTCGTGTGGTGTGGCTCGTGATCCACTTTCCCCAATCGCTATCCATCCATCCGCTTCCGCCGCTCCGCCCGCCGCCGCATCGCATCCCCAATTCCCCATCTCATCGCTCCCAGACGAAACCCTAACCCTGCTGCCTGCCGTCGATCTCCACTGCTGCGGCGGCAGCATGGAAGAAGCAGAGAACGGCGTGAGGAGCCGATCTCCGACGCGCGCGTCCGGCAACGGCGTGAGGAAGCTACCTCCTTCTCCGACGAGGGAGAACGGCGTGAGGAACCGCTCCCCGACGCGCGCCCCCGCCAACGGCGTGAGGAAGCTATCCCCTTCTCCGACGAGGTCGTCCGCCCCGGAGCAGAGGAAGCCCTCTGCCTCGCCTCCGCCGCCGCGCGTCCCCAGGTGGCTGATCCTCGACCGCATCGTCCACCGCAGCAGCAGGAGGCGTTGCGGTGTCGTCGAAGACGACGCCACCGCCTCGGCGCTCGCCCACGACTGCGTCGGCCGCCCCGTCCGCGCCTCCCTCAGGATCGCCGACCCGCCCGCGGTCTCCCGTCTCTACATCCACTGGACGGGCAGGCCGCCGATCGAAGGCTTCTCGGAGCCCACCGCCATCGCCGCCCACCGCAACTCCATTCTCTTCCATATGGCCACCCCCTTCGAGGATCCTCTGATGTGGAGCAGAGGTCCCTTCTTCCCCGACGACTACTTCGTCTACTCCTGCTCATCCTCGTCTCCGCCGACCCTGACTCTGCTTCCCCCTTGCTTCCACGGCGGCGACACCAATCCCAAGCTTGATAATTTCTTCCAGCCATACCGGAACCAGCAGCAGCGCATCATGTTGGACCAAGATGTGGGCATCCTGTGCCATGGCGACGAAGGCGAGTTCACGGTGGCACAACTCGCATTTTCTGAGAATGATGAGTTTGAGCTCTGCGTGCTGCACCATGCACCTCCTGCCTCTGGCATCTCAAAGGAATGGAGTGTGAAGAAGGTGCAGAACCCTCCTGACATGAAGATAAACATCTACTCGTGGATGACTGACGTCGTCGTGCCCATTGGCAGATGCTTGTGCTGGGTCGATTACTACCAGGGCATGCTTCTTGTTGATGTCCTCACTGACAGCAGCAGCGACCCAGATCATCAGCAATCGCTCCGTTACATCCCTCTGCCTAAAAAGGCTTTGAAGTCTCGCCGTCCGTACAGGGACGCCGGCTCACCTGACCCATTGCGGTGTGTCTGTGTCACTGACAATGACATCATTAAGCTCGTCTGCATTCTTACTGAACGTCCTGCTTCGTCTTGTCCCTTCGCCATAACAACTTGGACTTTGGATGACAAACATGAAGGCAAATGGACAATGGATGTCGACACCACCATGGGAGCAGAGAAAATTTTCAGTCTTTTTGGCGCTGGCCACAGTTTCCTACCACGGGTGCAGCCAAGTTTTCCTTTGGTGAGCTTGGGTGATCCAGATGTCATCTGCTTCTTGCTGAAGGACAAGGACCGTGGCCTTTTCTGGATGATTGAGGTCAACATGAGGAACAAGAAGCTACAGTCAAGCGCCCTCTATATCAGTGAAGAAGAAGAAGGATATCCCCCAAAAAGGGGCCGCCGGAACAATTTCTTTGGTCACTACTTTACTCCCAGCAAGTTCTCCTCTTACTTGAGTGAGGATGCCATCACAAGGTAATATTTTTGTGTTCTTTTTTATCCGCATTTACCTCTGCCATTGCATCTTGCTTGTAGCACGCTGCAGGAAGTATTGTTCTGTTTAGCAGCCTCTAGTTTACATTTAAAAACATAAGTAGAACATGATGGTGTAGGTGGCCGGGTATTTAGCATATGCAATTTCTATGCTAAGTTAAATAAGTAGCCAATCTGCTACCAGTGATTTGACATGTTGAGATACGAACAGATTAATCTGCTAAAATTGCATGGTCAAACTGTAACCTAATCTCATCATGGTTTAAAGTTGATGCAATACTATGCATTATGCCATTAAGCTAGCGAACAGAAGTATTATTCTGTTCACACTTTGTTTAACCATGACTCCAATTTATGTTCACCTGTTTTTGTTCTATGGTCAGAAAGCCTATATTAGTTTGGGATCCTAACCAAAACCAGAGCAACCAGTATAAAACAATGTGCGACCCTCACCCAATTAGCTCTTCGCATTACAAACCAACTCTACATACCAAAGCCAAGCAAGCGGGCTCGAGCCTGGTTGGCTAGCTCGTGTTAGAGTTGAGCTAGCAACCACGGTTCGAATCCCCGTGTGCACAGCATTAAGCTATCTCATATGGCCGGGGTTTCGACCCTATTACCTTTTTTTTTCATTCCAAAGCCAAGTGCATGTGCTGTATGATATTGACATCTTTACTTTCTTATGAACAAACCATCTTGATTACCATACTGTTTCTGATAGAAAAATCTTTTAGCTCGTTCACCAACAGATATAAAGAGGAAACATGATAGGTAAACAGTAGGGGCTAGGGAGGCTACGCCCATAGTTGAAATTCTACCACGGCTATTGGTAATCAGGATCAAGAATGTATAGAAAGAAGAAACCTTGTCAGAAATCTGCAGTGGCCATGACCTATGCAGCACGGATACGGATACGCGTATCGGTATCGGAAGGATACGGATACGCGGATACGACAATTTCTAAGAAAACACGATACGCGGATACGTTTTACTATTTTTTATAATAAATAAATAATAATGCAAATTAAAATTGTGAAAGTCTAAAATTTGAGTAACAATGCTAGATTAATGCTCAATTACCAAAATTTCTATCTAAAAAAGAAAGTCAGGAACAGGAGAGCCCTAATGTATGTTGTGGTTGTGGCCGGTGACCACAGATCCTATGCTAGGACTAGCACTTGCACTGGCACTACCCAAATATGTAGAGGTCATCTATTGGATGCAAGCAATCAAGCATGGGAAACACTAATCATGAAGCAGATGTGGGGAACACACAAAATCAAGCAACGAGAACTGCAGAACTAGAGTAGAATAGTAGATCAAGTATGAAAAGGAGATGTATTCATGGGAGGTCGCCAGCAGCTTGCTTTGCTGCTGAATCGTCCTCTTCCCTGCACCTTGCCCCTGCATCGGGCGAGCTAGCTGCAGCCGCGGCGGACTGGTGGGTGCTCCCCAGCGTGGTGCTCTCGGCGCGACGGTCTGTAGAAGTCGATTGATGGCATGGAGGATGCGGAGGAGGCCGGCGAGCGGTGGCGCACCTCCTGCCCGGCGCGCGTGTGCGCAGCAGGCGATGCGAGGGGGCGGGGCAGAAACTCGTCGCTGACGGCCGGCGAGTAGGGACGGGGGCTCGTCGCCGGCGAGCGGAGGCAGAGGCTCGTCGCCGGTGGCCGGCGGCCGGCGAGCGGGGTTGCGGCGTGCGCGGGGATGAGGCGCGAGGCGCGGGCGCAGCCGTGCGGGGCTGCGGACATCGGACGCTAGGGCGTCGGGGCAGAGGGATAAGGGTCTGTCTTCCTGGGCTTCTTACTGGGCTGGGCCGTATCGGCAGGCCAGATACGTGTCGGATGGCGTATCCAATTTGCACGAAAATAATAAAAAATCGGATACTCCGAGGATACGTATCCTGGGCGTATCGGACACGTATCCGTATCCGTATCCGTATCCGATACGTATCGGATACGCGATACACGGCTTCAGGGACGTAGGTGATTGTTACATCCATTACTCTATAACATAATGGTGTGGTGTAGGCGGCTTCCCCAACTGAGCTTCCTTGTTTAGTTGGTGAAGCCGGCCTGTTCTTTAAGGGTGGGAGTTGAAAGTATGGAGACAGTTACGAGATCAAAGCATCTCAGTAATGTCAAAAGTTATATAGTTGCATATCTTAACGCTAAAGTTCTCTATAATTAAATGAAGATGCAACTACTTGATTTGTTAATTGTACTTGTACATACTAAAATAATATATGACAATTATCAAGACATGGAATGTAGAAATTATCTAACTGGGTTTTTGTTTTCTACTCTTACATCTCATGTATGCAAGTATGGAACATTGATTGCCTTGTGACTCTGCTTTGTTTTGTGCAGTTTTTTTTTTCCCACACGAGGAACTCCCCATTTCCATTATAGCATAACGGAAATACCTTTGTTTTGTGCAGTTGGGAACTAAGTGAAAAGATGCAGGAGGCAAAAAAGGAGAGAGTGATGCAGAAGATTGGTCTGGAAGCAAAATTGAAGAAGTGATTTACTGGATGGATGACAGCACATTTTGAAGACTCGTGCTCTGTTTCGTGAGGAGGGAGGCGGAGGCCTTCGTGCCATGTGTTTGAGAGAACTTGTTTGATGCTCAACCCTGAGACAGATCACATTACGCATTTTGGTTGTCTGTCTTGTAATGTGTCCTCTCCATGGAGAATTTCGGGAACCTATATTAATCTGGGAAATGCATGTATGACAATCTCTACGTGGATGTTGAATGCACATGCTGTGTTAGCCAACTCGCCCAGGTGTTTCAAGATTTGCCCCAAGGGCACCATAGTTATCAAAACAAACTTTGAAACGACTAACCGGGTGGCTGAGTGCGTTTACATCTGATAACTGTCAAACTTCTGGACATAGACAAGTCCATGCTGCATTGCATTCTGGTGGTCTTATGATTGTGTAGTGTGCAGCAAGCCCCATGATTTTCGGGACTGTATCTGGGGCCTAAAACTCTGGACAACTTCCCCATTCCAAACAACAAATGACAGCTGTATCTGGGGCCTAAAACTCTAGACAACTTTGCCAATTGCAAACAACAAATGACAGATATAATCCTGGCAATAAAATGGGGTTAAATTGACAACTCAGGCTGCATGACAGTAGCTTTTTTTTTAAGATGAAGTCATGAAAGTTTCTTGATTGAACATCAAGATGTCAAATGCTGGACAAGCCAAATAAGTCCGAGATCCGAAATACTGGACAAGCCAAACAAGTCCATGATCCGGCAGGCAGCAATGAGCAGTAGTCAATGTCAATCTCAAAGAAATTAAAAGACTACTAATAATCAGATAACGATGGGGGGAACCCGACACGCAGCTTGCTCAATCATATCTCTTGCCCTTCCCTTTCCTTGTTGCTGTCTGCCAACCGAGTTCCGAATCCGATGATGAGGACTGCTGCTGTGTAGGAGCAGGAGGAGGAGGTCGAGGTCTGGGCGCTGCAGGCTGTGAAAACCCTGAACGTGCAGCTGCTTGGGACTGCAGCCATGGAGGTCTCCCAGCGCCTAGGTAGGATCCCTGCCAACTTGGCATTGAAGGCTGTGAAAACCCTGAACTTGTGCCTGCATGGGACTGCTGCCATGGAGGAGGTCTCACAGCGCCTAGGTAGGATCCCTGCCTTGAACTTGGCGTTGAAGGCTGTGAAAACCCTGAACTTGTGCCTGCATGGGACTGCTGCCATGGAGGAGGTCTCACAGAGCCTAGGTTGGATCCCTGCCTTGAACTTGTCGTTGAAGGCTGTGAAAACCCTAAACTTGCGGCTGCATGGGACTGCTGCCGTGGAGGTCTCACAGAGCCTAGGTTGGATCCCTGCCTTGAACTTGTCGTTGATGGCTGTGAAAACCCTGAACTTGCGGCTGCTTGGGACTGATGATATGGAGGTCTCCCAGCGCCTAGGTAGGATCCCTGCCTTGAACTTGGCGTTGAAGGCTGTGAAGACCCTGAACTTTCAGCCTGTTTCCCCTTCCCGGCCGTTGAAGATTCTCCTCCATCCTTGTTACCTATATATGGCCAAGAGAATACATATGCATCATCCAGTGCAAAAGCTGATATAGATAAGCATATTAACAAGTAGCAATAATGAAAAGGACATGACACTACATCTCCACTCCGAATGAAAACACCGCAAAGAGTTGAAAAAGACAGCAACTATTAGATAGACTTCATGATATTAATTACTCAAATTTGTTGTTCATGTGAGGCCAATATATGCGTACTCTAGTGACATACAAATTTAAACTACTGATTAAGGAAACATATTAATGCATGGAGGGTCCGATCAAAGTTCATATACAAAGTAATATTAACAAAAAGAATAAGCAGGAATGCTTGGGGGAAAAAACAATAAGCAGGAACCCTTCACAAAGTTAGGATGTGATTTGAGTTTTGACAAGCACTACAATGCTTGGGAGGAATGGGTAAGGGACAACTGGAAATGACTAGGCATCTTTTTAATATTTTTACTGATATTACCTTCTTATAAAAACTTGCAAAAAGGGTGACATAAAGACCATCACTTTTTTAGCTAAAATCCTAGGAAACTATAATGCCAATTTCTTATATTACAGAAAAAGATGTACTGACATGGTGTCACCATTGTTTCCATTTGTTGATTCACTACAAAGTAAAGGGTTCAACACCAAGGAAGCTAGGTTGCCAGTCTATTCAATCTGGTAGCACAGGACATAAAAATATGGTACTCAGGAAACAAGAAGCTGTAGTAGTCGCAACAACTGAGAAAAATGGAGATGCTAAACTGTTGCCTTTGGAGGAAAGGTAAACATGGAATAACAAATTTTCATCAAAGTTGTCTGATAGTCCAACACTGTGACTTCAGCAATGCAAGGCAGCAGTCAAATGAGTCAAGGATACATACACCCGAGCCTTATAACTGCACTAGTCACTTGAGGAAACAATAAAAATGCTCAGAATGAAAATTTAAAGAACATCATCAGATCCGTGCAAGGAAGAATGCATGCATATGGTTGATTCCTGGGCAGGTATGTGGAGTTCTGGTCAAGTGGGAAATATGCCATCTAAGTTGTCTCTCAATAAGTTATCTGCTGAACTGACACTTATGCCTCTTGTAAAATTTGCGAGACTTTCACATTGTAGTGCTTTGATGGTAATTTACACAGTATAAGTTCATTCGTCTAGCATTCTCCATGTTCTAAACTAAATTAAGATAAACCGTATATGATATTGAAGTTCCTTCTGTAAATCTGATATTAGGTATGATTTGCATCACGCAGAAGGATATCTAGACATGTTTTTCAACAATTTTTTTGAGAAAGTGCAGATAAATACCTAGATGTGGAGGATAACAAAAGTGGCAGGTACACCTTACCTGAGCTGCAAGTAGCCTACAATTTATAAATGTTAGATTTCTATTTTAAACGATGAGACAAAGTAAGCTACAGGTTTTAAAACATACTCCTGCTCAATGTCAACTTTGTCACTGATGATCCAACGATAAATGATGTCAGGAATAAAATTTGGATTGTTTGCAGGTATCATAAGCTCAATGCCATCATCATTCTTGAATTTTTCCTTCCAAGTCTTAGAAGACTTGTCCTAGAAAAAAACAGAACAGATTAAGATAATTAAGTGGAACACATGGCAAAGAAAAAAGAGAAGATTAAATTTGCCAACAGATGGAATTTAAGACATATTTATATCTCCTGATATGATTATTTTTTCTACTGGCACAGATTTTGTTTGGTTGTGCAAGTAGCCATGTAGGCAAAGCTAGAAATGAGAGAGGGTGCACTTGCCTTATAGGTGTATCGACCTGTGTCATAGGATTACTGTACGTTAGAATTTTAGTTAAAATCATTGTTTTATCATTTTTGAGGGGGATGCAGTTTGGTTGTGCAAGTAACCATGCATATACTTAATTCATTAAGTGTGCATATGTGGGTGTGTTTGCACTGGTTGAGTGGCTAATCCCTAGCACACAGCTGTACGGCCAATGTTCGAGTGTTTGATTGCGTCTAGGAGGGTTACCAAGCTTTGCCGGCCATCCATACCAAGTTATAGTCAGGCTATATATGATAATGCCATCTTAGGTATAGCCTGGGTTCACACACTTGTTTGATTCCACTCGCCTCCTAATGGTGTTCTTCTCAAGGTCACTACACATGGCATAAAGGGTCTTCCAAGCCATCTAATGGACGCCAAAGGCTGGCATCCTAGTCAACAACCACGCGACGGAGAGCTTGCCAGTAATATAACGTGCATCACGTTACAAAACCAAAGGCTGCCATTGACAGATGCTAAAGGCAGCTAATTTTAAGCTAAAGTTGGACATGTACATGCATGTCCAAAGAGGCCATAGTTTGCTTGGGCGTTTCTATTATAGCAGTAATAAAGCAAATCTGTTGTACAAAATATTAGTTTCAAACTTGATCAAAGAGAGAGAGAGAGAGAACTCACAAACCGATTTGCCGGAGCATGCATATATTCATCCCGCATAAGTCTGAACGTGCTGGGCCTCGAATCAGTATATGGTTCATTATGATTATTACCATGTGCTATTATGTCATCAAACACTGCAGTTTGGTTGAGACTATAAGCATTAGCATAATCCACCACATGTTGCCCAGGCCGTGCCATTGCCCTATCCCATGCCTGCTGTACAGACTTAGCAAAGCTTTTTTGCTTTCTTCGCAACATAACTAATAATATGCCCCTGGCAGTAGACTCCACACAACATATGTGTGTCTCAATAAATAGTTTATCTGAATCGGTTAAGATAGGACTTTTCAATGTTTTTAGAAAACTAGTTAAGTTTTCCAGATACGGTGGAAATTCTGATACCAAATTTGATTTCTTCCTGTGGAAAATTTTCTTTATATGACCAATCAGCCTAGTCAAATCAGCATGCATTGAGCTACTGATAAGCCTCCTCTCAGCACTTTTAATCACCACAACGTGGTCATTGATAACCCTAAAATCGTCCAAATCAAAATCACCCTCCCAGCTTTTTGAATCAGCAAATGCTCTTGTAAAGCATTTTAACCAAGTGGACAAAAATAGGCATCCTTCTTTAGTCATCACCAATGAAACCCTTCCATCTGGTAAAGTAACCTCTGCTAATAACTTCTTTTTCTTAAAATATATTCATTTATGGTGACCCTAAAACATAAACAATAGAAAAATAAATAAAAATTATAAAACAAAAGAGTTAGAAAAAATATAAATGAAGGGAGATAAAGAACAATAAGCTTACATTCCTCCGAGAAGCCTAGTACAAACATGAACCGTAGTGTCCCGTTCTACCCCGTAAAGTAGAAGGCTACCATGGGGTTCAAGTATTTTTGTCCCATATACAAAATATTGGCATTCAAGTTTCGTCTTCGTCTTCTGTGCGTACAAGTGCATCAATTGTTGAGAAGATCGATTCAAATTTATTGTCAGGGTCAATTCCCCAGAGACATGCCTCACAAAGATAGGTATCAATAAACCATCATTATTTTTGGAATC